TAACCCAGCATAATGACAGAAACCAAGGACAATGGCAAGGGGTCAATGACCACAGAATCACACGATGGAGAAATAGAAGCCGTCTAATAGTAGGTTCCGAGGGAATTGACAATTCGTCGTTCCAACTCACGTCGGAAAAATTAAGCCAGAAAAACTTCAGAGAATGAGCCCAATCCATCGATCACTAGAAGGAAAATTGTGATACTTGATTGGAGACAGAAGAAGCCTGCCTCCACCAAATGTGTCAGCTTGCAAAGATGGAAATCAGGAAAATCATTGGCAACTGCGTGGCTCGTGAACTCCATAATTCCTTCCATCAGAAGAACATATCTATTCTTACCAACTACAAAGGTGTTTGGGATGCTGTTCGAAAAACATAATCCGATTCTTAAAATGCCTACCAAATTTCGAAATCAAGACAAAATTGTGGCAAATAAAGCAAGAAGAAAGGGAAGTCACTAAGTACTACATGGAGACGATGGCACTATAACAAGTGCTCGACTTGAGTACGAAAGAAGAGTGGGACTACCTTAGGGATTGCGCGCGATACTAAAAGAAAAGGGAGATTGAACGGATGTTTGAATTTTTGGCGGGGCTCCACGGGAATTTGGACGACGTCAAAGGAAGGATACTTAACCAGTGACACCCTCACACACCGGGCTTTGCGGGAGACCAAACATGTCTCCCCCCACACATATCGAGCCCTACGGGAGACCAAACCCCTCTCCCCCTCACACAAACCCGTATCTTTGTGATTGTTGGGTCGGAGGCTTGTTAATAAACAGAGCTCTAATACAAGTGTTGAGTGGTATTGAGCCTCCCTCACCCCCAAAAGCTAACTCAAGAGGTGAGTTTTCCCTCACACTTATAAACTGAATACTAACCCCAGCCACAACCAATATGGGACAAACTTAACAATTTTCCCCTCACACATCGGGCTTTGCGAGAGACGAAGCATGTCTCCACCCACACACATCGGGCCCTGCAGGAGACCGAACCCATCTCCCCCTCACATAAACCTGTATCTCTGTAATTGTTGGGTTGGAGATTTGTTGATAAATCGGGCTCTGATACCATTGGGTGATATTGGGCCTCCCTCATCCCCAAAAGCTAGCTCAAGAGGTGGGTTTTCCCTCATGCTTATAAACTGAATACCAACCCCATCCACAACTAATATGGGGCAACCTCAACAGTTCTTAGAAATTCACCATGAAAAGAGTCGGAGGCATGTGATGCTGAACAGTGGAAAAGACGAATAGATGTCAGCCTTTGTAACTAAGAAATCTGGGCCTCCAAAATTTGCGCCAAAATGTGCTAAAGTTGGGCCAGGTAACATGGGCTACTCTCAAAATATTGGACCGGTTGGAGATGTTTTTAATGGATCAAGTTTCAGTAATAGGCCTGGAAACATGAGTAATAATAGCCTGGAAATTGGGCCTATATTCAAAACGTGTAACACATGGGCAGATTCCTCGCTAGCCCATAGAGGTAAGTTTTTACGAGCCTTAAAGATATCATCAAATTTAAAACTCCTTAGATCATCAACTCAAGAGTATCCGATCACATGACAGGCTCCTACAATCTATTTTCCTCATATTCAACATGTGCGGGTAACATTAGAGTTAAAATTACAGATGGCTCACTCTCACCTATTGCTAGAAAGGGAGCTTTCGAATCTCTGACTCCATAGGATCAATCCTTCTTGTCCCTAATTTGTCCTGTAATTTATTATCTATAAGTCAGTTGACAAAGAATTCTAATTGCACTGCTAAATTCCTCCTTTCTCATTGTGTTTTTCAGAATCGATCATTGGAAACGACTATTGGCAGTGTGAAGGAATGTGAGGGACTTCTCTACTTTGACGAGGTTGATATGAGTAAGCAACATCGAATTGTCATTTGTGATTATACATCTCTTTCTAATGATAATGAAGTCTTGTTATAGCATTTTAGAATGGGACATCCCAATTTTCAATATTTGAAACATGTATTCCCGACCATGTCCTTAGATAAAAAGCCCGACAAATTTCAATGTTAATTCTGTGAACTTGCTAAACACCAACGAACATCATTCCCAAAATCTATGTATAAACCATCAAAACCATTCACTATGATCCACTTTCACGGATTCCTAATCGAACTCATACGAATTGGTTCGTTAAATTCATTAAGGATCACACTCGACTTTGTTGGGTATCTCTTGAAAGAAAATTTTGATGTACAATCCGTGTATATTAATTTCCACCCCATGATACAAATCCAATTCTAAACACAGGTTCAAATTTTGGGCACCGATAATGGCACAAAGTACAACAAAAACTTGGGAGATTTTCTCCTAGCAAATGGAATAATGCATCAAAACTCTTGCGTTGAAACTCCCCAACCAAATGGGATTGTTAAATAAAAAAATAGACATCTTTTAGATATTGCTCGAGCTTTAATATTTATTACAAATATGCCAAAAGTATTCTGGAGAGATGCTCTCTTAACCTCTACTTATGTGATCAACCGAATGCCCAACAGTACCTTAAACTTCGAATCACCTCTTACAACATTTCAAAAATTCTTTTCGAACTCTCGGCTCGGCTCAAACATGTCCCTCAAAGTGTTAGTTATACTGTTTTCGCCCATATTCACGACAATCACAAAAATAAACTAGATTCTCGAGCAATTAAATGTGTCCTCATCGGGTACTCTCCTACTCAGAAAGGATACAAATGTTATGACCCTTACACAAAGAAAGTCATTGTTAGCCTCGACATCACATGCTTCAAAAATACTTCATATTTGAACAAAACCTCCCTTCAGGGGGAAAATTTAAGTGAAGATCGATACCTGCACTTAGACCTTCTACCTTTACTTGTCACACCACCTAGCTCTCCCATCATACCTCCTAGCTCTTTTATGCCATTTACAAGAGAAAACTTGAATTTAGGAAGAGATACAGAAAAACAGAGTGACAAGAGAATACTTGTTTACTTAAGGAGACCAAAAGAAAGGCATAAGGAAAACTTCACACCCGAAGCACCAAGAGAGTCGGACCCAGTGATAGCTCCAGACATATTCAGACATTAACCTACCTATTGCCCTTAGAAAACAAACTCGGTCATGTACACGTCACCATATCTCCAAGTTCTATAGGATTTCGTAGCTTCACATCTCATCTTAACAATACTACAATTCCAAAGAATATTTAGGAAGCTTTGGAAATTCCAAAATGGAAAGAAGTGGTAATAGAGGAAATGCGAGCGTTGGAAAAATGATACTTGGGAAGTAATAGATTTGCCAAAAGGAAAAAAAGCTTGTAGGATGCAAATGGGTCGTCAACTTAAAATATAAAACTAATGGGACACGAGAACGATATAATGCTCAATTAGTTGCAAAGGGATACACACAAACCTATGAGATTGATTACACGGAGACATTTGCACCTGTTGGCAAAATTGAATACAATCTATGTACTTCTCTTGTTAGCAGCAAACTTAAACTTGCCCCTCCAATAACTAAACATAAAAAAATGCATTTTTAAATGGAGAATTGGAAGAAGAAGTCTACATGACAATACCACCACGTTTTTGCACGGTAAACGAGAGGAATTGAGTCTGCAAGCTCAAGAAGTCTTTATATGGACTCAAGCAGTTATCTAGAGCATGGTATGACAAATTTGCAAAGGTACTGAAGAGGCAAGGATATCAATAGGTACAATCAGATCACACTATGTTCTTTAAACAATATGATGATTGGACCAAAACAATCTTGATTGTATATGTTGATGATATAATTTTGACGAGAGACAATATAGTAGAAATGGAGAAACTAAAGAATGGTCTAGCCACTAAATTCGAAGTAAAAAATCTGGGACAAATACGACACTTCTTAGGTATGAAAGTGGCAAGGTCAAAAACGGACATCAGCGTCTCGCAAAGAAAATATGTCCTTGACCTCGTTAGCGAAATTGGAATGTTTGGATGCAAACCAAGTGATACACCAATTGAAGTAGGAAAGAAAATTGAGAATGTAGGCAACTCATTGGACATACATAGATACCATCAATTAGGTAAATTAATCTACTTGTCACACACTAGACCAGATATCACAATTACAGTTAGTATGGTGAGCTAACATATGCACAAACTAAAGGAAGTTCATTTAGAATTAGACTACAAGATACTCAGATACTTGAAGAGATCCTTGGGGCAAGGACTATTCTTCAAGTAAAGTGAAAGAAAAGATGTAGAAGTTTTCGCACCGATTGGGCAGGTTCCACAAAAGATAGAAGATCGACTACCGAATATTGCACCTATGTATGGCTATGGTAACATGGAGAAGCAAGAAGCAAATGCAGTCGCCAGAAGTAGTACTGAAGCAGATTTTAGAGCGGTAGCACAAGGAATGTGTACAGGATTGTGGTTGAAGAAACTTTTAGAAGAGTTTCATGTTACAATAAGTTCCCAATCAAACTATACTACTATAACAAAGCCACTATCAACATTTCTCTCAACCCAATTCCACATGATCGAACCAAACATTTTATCAAAGAAAAGGTAGAAGATGAGATTATTTGCATAACGTATGTTCCACACAAGAACAAACTGCAAATATCTTCAACAAATAACTACCTTGACATAAATTCGATGATTTCATTCACAAGTTGGATATGATCAACATTTATAACCCAACTTGAGGTGGAGTATCTCAAGAATATGGAAATATTCTCCCTACCTTAAGTATCTTTGTATATTTTAGTAACTAGTAATTATTATAATTAAGATTGATTATATAGGAGATTCCTTAACAATCTTAGATATATTATTTTCCTTTTTTAGGAGGTGTTTGAGCCACATTATTTTGGTAATAATGCATTTTTGAATAGTGTATTGATGGGAAATGTGTGGTTAAAAAATAAGAAAAAGTTTTTGATTTGCGTGTAATATTATTTTATTGAAGAATATATGATTGAAATAATGTCAAATCACTGTTTAAGAATGCATTTTTTTGGAATAATGTGGCTCAAATAGGCCCTTAATATCTTTTGTATACTATTAAAGGAGGTGTCAGGGTGTAATATTGATCGATGAAAATAACAGAGGTTTCACTATTTACAAGATATTTCAACGGTTTCACTGTTCACACTTGCGTAAAGAGATAAAAAACTCAATCAATAAGTGTAAGGAGGGCATTTTGGTGAAAGCAAATCAGGAGTGGAAAGAGAAAAACTCAATCTAAGAATCAATGGGAGAACAAAAGGGCAAAAGAAAAGGCAAATCAAAACCTGCGGAAGGTGGTGACCAAAGCTACTAGGGTGAATGCCAATGGACAAGTAAAGATGCAACCACTAAGAACGTCTCATGAATAATGTAGTCTTTAATGTCATGGAATTAAACATGAAAGAGAAAAATACAGAGATGAGGGATCCCGAATCCTCCTAACGGTCAAAGTTTTCAAAAAGATTAACCAGATGTAAAAATTGTAATTTAACATTAGGCAATTTTTAATACTCTGTAGAGAAGTTAGAAGAAATCATGGAAGAGCCCCAAATCTTGAAGAGCAGACACGATCCAACTATGCATCTGATGTTTTAAACAGATAAAGCAAACAAAGGTGAAATACAAATGCTATACCTTAGAGGATGGAGGGGGCAGAGAAGCCTGATGCACAGCCTTTCCTGGCTCTGTTAGCTGCTGAATCTCATGAAGCTGGCGTGCTAAATTCTCCAAAAGTTCCATCTGTACTCTTTCCCTTTCACGATATTCAACTGATATGCTAAGTTTCTCTCTCCCTTCCTGCACAGTTCTTAATCTTTCTTGAAGCCTAATAATTTCACTCTCGATTTTTAACCTTTCAGTATCCAATGGAGACATGGAACTCCTCCGCATATCCGAAAGAAAAGGTTTGCACCTTGGGCCCATTGGTGGAAGACCGCTAGTTATGTCTGAACTGCTTCTCTTACTGTCTATTTCAGTCTTCAAACCACTAGTGCCAGGACAGTTGGTGATAGCAACAACCCTCTTTGCAACCGAGGCCTCCAAGGGAACATCACTTTTCCTATTAGCTTCTGACGTATCAGTGACCAAAAACTTCTCACCTTTGCTTCCATTTACGTAGCTACGTAAGTTCGATCCATTTCCAATGACATCAACATCATAGACATGAGGGTCATTATCAAAAACTAAATTACCTGAATTATGAAATCCATGATGTGCATCTTTCCTATGCTGCTTCAAATGTGGAGCATCATATAAATCACCTGTCTCAGTTCCATTACTAGTGTGAATCTTATTTTGGCCTAGGTTGAAGCTCGCAGTTCCCTCATGCACTTTCCCTACTAAAAGGATAGTTTTCTCAGGAAAATTAATTCCTTGAGGGTCCCTTGGCGGCACGTACAAGTTATCATCTACGGATATCATCTCTTTCTCCTGAAGCTCCACAGTGCTATCACTACTGCATATTGACATCTGCAAAGGTAGTCTGCCTAAGTCCTCTTGTTTCTGGAAGTTAGCATTTCCACACGATCCTTGAACTGGGGATTCATTTCCAATAACTAGTGCACAATTCTGCTTATCAATAGATACACTATCATCTGAACCTTTGTTTTCTATCATTACCTTCTTATCAATAGACGCGCTAAGCTCGTGTAGCATCAGAACAGGATCCTCGTTTGGATCAATCAAAGAATCAACAGGTAGTTGCAGATCATATTTCTCCCCGCCATCATAAGCTATTTGTTTGTCTCCAAGACAATTCATCTGCCTATACATTTCAACTTCCTTTTCCAAAAAGAGCTTCTCCCTCTCTCTTCTTACCATGATTTCTTTGAGGATGTTCATTTCTTCAGCATCATAAGCAGATTTTTCTTCTAATATCCTCTGGTACTGCCGAGCTTCCATTTCTATGGCTGCCTTCTCCTCCTGTAGGCGCAGAATCATAGCCATAGCCTCATCTGCAGCAGTTGCAGCAGCACTTCTTTCCTTTTCAAGCTCATGGTAAAGAGCCAAACCAGAAGCATGCTCCTCTTCAAGTGCCAGTTTCAGGAATCTTATTGCATTTTTCTCATCTCCATTGGAACCCAGGTCCCCTTGGCCATTTTCTTTTAGATCTTCAACTAATAGTATATTTTCCTTCATGTGCATATCTTCACCAGGGAATTTATTCAATTGAATGCTGTCAGAAACCCCCGGCCTCAATCCCATGATTGTGGGAGCCTTCTCATCAACTAAGTTCATAGATAAGATGTAATGTTAGCATGTGTGAACCATAATTACAGACAATACTGAACACTTCGATCCTTTAAGTTCATTTCCATTTTCAAGACTTCAAAGATTTCAAAAAATCAATTCATAATACAGTGTCAATGCATGTATTAAAATTTCCTGATTGAAAAGCAAAGCTGCAAGTAATCTTTTAAGGCTAGAAACAAACAGAGATTACAAAGAATTTATTGGAAAATGCTAAAACACAAATTAACAGGTTAGAGAGGAGCGAAAACTTTGTGTTACAAAATGTTACATTGCAAACTGCATCAACTTTGTTATTCACACACTGAAGATGGCCTCTGTTGCTAAGAGCTCCATTGGGACTTAAAAAAACATAATGGCCAAACTACTCTTTGAAAAAAATTACGCACTGATATTCAAGATCCATACACATTGATCATATGATTCCTCCAGCTTCATTCTTGCTAATATGCAAGACATTATTTTCCGATCTGAGGCATGCAAGCATGTTCATTCATATTGTTTTACACTTTCACAATCTTATTTAACACTTACAAACTGGTCTTCATTTAATTTCTGTTCAATGTACAAAATCCTGAAGCTTATTCCTTCTGAAATTATGAATGACTTCTTCTTTGCTATACTTTGTGATACAGGGTGCCGGGCAGTTAAAGGACATATATAGGACAAATATAGCAAAGAATGAAGGCATTAAAATGGATTTGGTAAAATGATGGAGTTAAATGAAAAAAAAAAAATAATGCATATATATATATATATATATGCCAGCAAGTGAAGGCAGTACCAATAGAGGATAAATTAGTGGGATGTCTATTTAGGAAGTTGGAAATATGTCTTGCCTGGACCCAAAATACCCCCCCCCCCCCCCCCCCCCCCGCGATTTTTGTTTCCGATCAACCTATCAAATTTTAGCCTATACTGACACAGTTTTGAAAAAGGACGAAATTACCCCCGACGCGATTTTTATTCCCGATCAACCTGTCAATTTTTTGCCCATACCGACACAGTCGCAAAAAATGACGAAATTGCCCCCGGCGTGATTTTTAATTTCCGAACAACCAGTCAAATTTTAGCTCATTCCGACACAGTCGCGAAAAATGACGAAATTGCCCCCGACGCGATTTCTGTTTCCGATCAACCCTCAGAATGTGAGAATAATAAATGGTAGTAAATTTTGGATCCTACAGAATGTGGATAAAAAGTATGTTTATCATCTTAAATTATAATTTAAGCTTTGCAAAGATGCTCTTAATTTGTAAGTCCTAGAGTTGAATACTTGCTATTTTCACAATATTGCAACGTATCTTGAGATGTGCTGACAACTTCTTCAAGTACAAAATTCATTTATTTTCTCTTTTCAAAAAAAGACAACATAATAACATATTTAGTAGCATGAAAACCAACAAATCATGGCCATATTCCTATTATCTTTCAGTTTTATATCGATTTTGAATATAAAGATTATGGCCATGTTCGGTAGTAATTTTGAGAATTGATTTTTTGAGTGTTAGAGAGAAAGTGGGTCCCACCTGTAATCGAAGAAGTAAAAAATGATGGGTGGAATAGTGAAATAACAGTTGAAAAAATGATTTTTTTGGGGGAAAAATTGCTACCAAACGGGATATTTCTAAATTATGTGGATCGTTTCCACTCTCATAAGAGACAAGGGAGCGAAATTTCCATGTGTACAAGGTCAAACATTGGATTTTCTTTCAAAACCAGAGGGCACCAGAGCTAAAAGGAGTTCTTTAGAATCAAATGACATTCAACTTGTGAAATAATGAAAACGGTTTTTACAGATGATAATTCTTTTAAGATGGTTTGACATGGTTACAGGAGACAAATAAAGCTCTAGATGAAAGACCAAACTCAACTTACACGAAATTACTAATAAAGATGTGTTCACTTGTCAATTAACTCAAGAACAAAAAAGTGATGGCTTTGTTCAATAAAGAAATGCTACCAAAGTAGATATTCTCTCCAGAAAAAAAAAATGTATTTGTTAGGAGTTAAGCCCTAATTCCAATTATCAAAGCAATATTAAGTAAAACAAAACCAGATCCACACACACACACAAAAGAAAAACAGACTTATAGTAGTTCACTCCCAACACTATAGCTACATGAGCTATGTCCATGTGCCGGTTTTCATTATGAGAAGAACAAAAATATTACAATGATAATCTTGCAGTTTCCGAATCTATATCTCCAGTTAATGCCCCCCCCCCCCCCCCCCCCCCCCCAGTTAATGCCCCAGGGGGGGGAGGGGGGGGATCCTATTAGAGCTACCAAATACATGTATTGAATCTATAATAAATTGCAACATAAGATGCGCTAGAAATAAAATGGCTACAGATGTATCTGATAAAAAGAATACAAGCTGAAACGGAATTCAGGGACCAAGAGAACTCACATTCTATGTTATGAGCATCATCTTCATTATCAATAGGCAATGAGATACCTTCACTCAATTCATTCCCTCTCATGTTGATGCTAGAAGGAGATATAGGAACAGCACCATCTTGCACCTCTACACACAGCGAAGGATCATAGGACGAAACCGAAGAAAAATTCCCACCATCAATAACCCCTCTTCGACGCCGCCTCAATCCACCTCTTCTAGTAGAACCTACTACCCTTTTCCCCTTCATGTTAGACCCATCATTCCTCCAATTCGGCAGCCTCCTGGGTACATTCCCTGACCTCCTTGTATCTGATACTGAACTCCCCGATGTCTCACCTTCCATTTCAAGAATACCCATAATATTATCATTATTAACTTTACCCTTTTGATTATTTGCCCAGATGGAATCATTGAAAGGGAACTTTTGCTTCACAGAAAGTTGGACATTAGTTACTGTTTGAGTTGGGAAATCAACTAATAGCTGTTGCAAGCAGTGATTCCTATTTGGAGTAGTGAAAAACAGGCCATTACAAGGGCATGGTAAGCACAATCCAAAAAATTCAAGAAATTTTGTTGCTAAATAGGCCACAGCTGATGCACACAGCAACAAGTAGGCTATAGCAAGATCGAGAAAAGCACCAACTAAACCACTCAAAGTCCACATCTGAATGGCCCCGCATCCCATTTTCATTGATGATTAAACTTGACTTAACTGTATACTCAACATTTGAAATAAATCAATCAAAGGGATGCTTATTCGTTTGGATAAAAGAAACCAAGCAAAGACAGGAAAAGGGGAATTCAGAACTCGATCAAAAGAGGCTTTATTTTTTATTTTATTTTTATTTTATAGGATTAGGGTGTTCAACCGGTTTTCATTATGAGAAGAAAAAAAATATTACAATGGTAATCTTGCAGCTTCCGAATCTATATCTCCAGTTAATGCCCCAGGGGGGGGAGGGGGGGGATCCTATTAGAGCTACCAAATACATGTATTGAATCTATAATAAATTGCAACATAAGATGCGCTAGAAATAAAATGGCTACAGATGTATCTGATAAAAAGAATACAAGCTGAAACGGAATTCAGGGACCAAGAGAACTCACATTCTATGTTATGAGCATCATCTTCATTATCAATAGGCAATGAGATACCTTCACTCAATTCATTCCCTCTCATGTTGATGCTAGAAGGAGATATAGGAACAGCACCATCTTGCACCTCTACACACAGCGAAGGATCATAGGACGAAACCGAAGAAAAATTCCCACCATCAATAACCCCTCTTCGACGCCGCCTCAATCCACCTCTTCTAGTAGAACCTACTACCCTTTTCCCCTTCATGTTAGACCCATCATTCCTCCAATTCGGCAGCCTCCTGGGTACATTCCCTGACCTCCTTGTATCTGATACTGAACTCCCCGATGTCTCACCTTCCATTTCAAGAATACCCATAATATTATCATTATTAACTTTACCCTTTTGATTATTTGCCCAGATGGAATCATTGAAAGGGAACTTTTGCTTCACAGAAAGTTGGACATTAGTTACTGTTTGAGTTGGGAAATCAACTAATAGCTGTTGCAAGCAGTGATTCCTATTTGGAGTAGTGAAAAACAGGCCATTACAAGGGCATGGTAAGCACAATCCAAAAAATTCAAGAAATTTTGTTGCTAAATAGGCCACAGCTGATGCACACAGCAACAAGTAGGCTATAGCAAGATCGAGAAAAGCACCAACTAAACCACTCAAAGTCCACATCTGAATGGCCCCGCATCCCATTTTCATTGATGATTAAACTTGACTTAACTGTATATTCAACATTTTGAAATAAATCAATCAAAGGGATGCTTATTCGTTTGGATAAAAGAAACCAAGCAAAGACAGGAAAAGGGGAATTCAGAACTCGATCAAAAGAGGCTTTATTTTTTATTTTATTTTTATTTTATAGGATTAGGGTGTTCAAAGCTTTGTCTGACTAATCTGGAAGAATGGCATTCTTCCTTCTGGTTTATCATCCAAGTAAATTCGGACACAATTGGACTAGACATTCAGGATGCGGGGCTTAGCTTTGTCTGACTAATCTGGAAGAATGGCATTCTTCCTTCTGGTTTATCATCCAAGTAAATTCGGACACAATTGGACTAGACATTCAGGATGCGGGGCTTTTTTTTTTTATTGGGAAATAATGTGTAGTGAATCCTGTTCAAATTTTAAAACGAAAGGAGTTAATTTTTACAATGGTCACTAAATTTATATCTATATTTTCAATTATTCAACAAAGTTTAATATATCAAATTTTGATCACTAAATTTTGAAAAACGTTGTACGTTATTCACTAACATAACTTTCATCTCAAATCTATAACGAAATTGATGATGTGGCTGATAGAATGCACATGTCGTTATGTCTATATCTCCTCAACCATTCCATGTATCAAATTTTAATACATAATCATAAATAAGGAAATTATCAAAATAGTCAACTTTTGGCTTTGCAATTACAAAAATGTCACCTTTTTTTTTTTTTACCTTGCAAGAATGTCAATTTTAGATAATTTTAGACTTATTTTCCCTTAAAGGTAATTTTAAATACCCTACATGTCCTAAGTAAATGAGATTTGACCCATCAAAGAAATTGTACAAAATTGGCCAGACAAAAATTACATCCTGCAACTAAAAAAAGCAGAGCATACACGAAATCATGTCCCTAAATCCCTAATGCCGTCCCAAGAGAAATCCCTAAATTCCTTACTGCTATCAGAATAGAAATCCCCTAAATCCCTAAATTCCTTATTGCCGTCCCAAGAGAAATCTCTAATGCCATGAGTGCGAAAGGAAAGCAAAAGAATACCAAATCCCTAAATCGCGAAAATCTACTCCTCTCTGTGGATAAACCGACCACCGAGCCAGCGAACTGGTCTCCGTCACCGAAAACGGAATCCTTGAAACTGTGAAACACAGTCCGACCACCGAAATCGCATAATGCTGACGAACTCGTCTCCCTCACCGAAAACGGAATCCCTAAAGCTGTAAGAATAGTCCTCTCACTGAAAATAGAAACATAAAGTGCGATCTTGTCACTGCATCGATCTGCAGCTGTGATCCGCTGATTGCCTAGAGTACTCATATGTACGGTAATCTGTTTTGTGTGGATGCATTTTTTTGTTTTTGCCTTTTGCGAAAAGAATTTATGGGTTTTTGTTTTTGGTGTTTATTTGATGGACTATGTATTGCACTTGTCAAACTTGTGATTTTTCGTTGGATGAATGTGAAGCAAAAAGCATAATACAAGTAGATTTTAAGTACGTAATCCTTTTCGTCACAGTTCAGTGTCTAGAAATAGAACGAGGGCTTTGCATTTCCATATTGAAGAATAGCAATAATAAGATCGTAGCTTCAGTAGTGTAGGAAAGACTCCCACTGTCATCCCCCAAATCGACTTTGTTGTTGTCACAATTTGAAATAAATGCATGGCTTTACAAAACTATTACTGGAAGGGGACATCGGCAGCGAAAATCGATAGGCACTAGCGCCGGCAGAGAGAAGAAGTATGGTTGATTTCGGGAAATTTATTTTTCCTTAATAAGATAGTGTGTTTTATTTTGGGGACATGAGAGGCCCCTGTGTGCAATTAGAATCGGGGTCACACTGTAATTTTCAAATGTTTAGTAGATTTTGATAGAAATTGATGAAATATATAATTGAGAAATTATGAAGTCCATGAAATATGGATTTAAATGAATTGTTGACTCTTAGTTTAAATTAAAATTAAAATTTTAATCCTACTAATTAAAGGCTAAAAAGTGCTCAAGAGACAGTAATATTTATGTTTATCATCAATTTGGATAGATTCCTAAGTACTAATGGTCGATGTCAAGGTACTATGATTGTTTATGTTTTTCTTGTTTGGTTGCCAACAACAATTCTTCATCTTCCTTTACTTCAACATAATTGACTCTCTCTTCATTATTTTGGCTGTCAAGCTGTGTTAATCACATCAGTTGTTTTTGAATTTTGTAAGAATTTTCATTGTATCTACTCCCAATAAAGATGAAAATTTACACAATATTACTTGATGCCATATGACCTGAATTCAAATCTTTTGCTGCTATAAAGTCATTATTGTTGCTAATATTGCTCAGTATTCGGAGAAGTTTGTAGTTGAATGGAAGTTTCACTTATTTAATACTCCTTAGATATGTTTGTAGCTTGATCGGTTTCGAAAGTTATATGTTAGACTTTTCATTGTTCGAAGCTTAAAATTTATCTTGTTCTCATAGAAGACAGACATTGCAATCACGTCCAATCGCATGTTGAAACTGTATGATTAGTTAATGATCGATAAGGAAAAGGTTAAATTGAAATTGAATCAGTAGTGGAGAATTTAGAGGGGATTAAATCTAACATTTGGTGCAGTCTCTTTTCTTTTACTGCATCTTGTTTCTTTCAAATTAGCTTTGACAGTAGATATAGTGTTCAACGTGTTCCAAACAGAGGGTTTCGTGAAATATTAGAAAGAAAATAATAATTATCCTTTACATTAAAAATTTTGGATTTCATGATTGTGAGTTGTGACGATGGAATTCTCAAAATGTTGAATTGTGTCATTTAAAAATTTTTGCTGAGTCGTACTTGTTAGGTAAGCAAGGACTTGTGCTTGCTTATTTATGAACATGCAGGAAATGTTTGAAATACTGTCTACTTATATGATTGCGTTGCAAGAATGTACCTTTGTGGGGTTATATTGAATTTTAGTAGCATTTAATCATATAATAATTTGCAGAGGCGCACATAGTGATTATGTTGAAAAATTTTATTGTGAGATGATTGAAATGTTTTCTTATTATCAATTTTACTATCATGTTTTAAGTTGACAATTGGTTTTGTAATACTGTTATCAATTTTGCATGTACTATACTAATTTTTTGGAGGGGGCCTAATTTGTGGAGTTTGCCTTATGCCCCTACAATCACAGGACCTACACTGCTCTTTCTCACTACATCGACCGTCGGCTAACTCCTCTCCATGACGAAAATCTATCCTGCTTCCAGCCAGCGACGATATTGGAAGCGTTGGAGGAATCGCCCACCGCCTTTTGGATCTCATTTTCTGTGCAATTGCAAATCAACATTATGCAAAAGGTATTCCAATTTTTGAATTTATCTTTGGAATTAATTTTGCAAGGAATGCAGGGCTTATTTATTCTTGTTGAATCATTGGGTTTGTTTATTTAAGTTTTTGAAGATGTTATATTAATGTAAACATCAAATTTAGCTGTTTGTTAATATGAATTAGGTTTTTTATTTAATTTTCTTCGGTCCCATATTCCAGTTTTGAGTCTTGTGTGTTGGTTGCTGTTGGTTGTTTAGTAATAGTATTTTATACTCGTTTTGTGTGAAAGAGAAATATTTGCCGTGGTAATTATTTACATGATATACGGTATCTCGCACTGGGGTGTTGGTTGATGTAATGAAAATATTTTGTTGTGGATAGTGGGTGGTTAGCAATGGCAGTGGGTGATAAATGTGGAAACTGATATAAAGTATTTTCGATTAAAAATGTTGTTAGTTAGGACAATGTTTGTGGACACGGATAGGCAAACATACTTTTATTCAAATTGTTTACATTTATAGAGTACATGTGTAGTTCCCTCATTTCATTTCGAACCCATCCTTTTGTACTTAGGTTGTTAATACTCTTCAACAGTGTTCACAGATTAGTTTTTTTTTTTGGAAGTTTGTAAATGGTTAATAGATGAATTATACTTATGATGTGAACCCTTTTGCAATATGTACCATAGAACCCTTATGATACATTTGCAACACGATAGTGTAATAAGACATCCTATAGAAAGGGACTTAGAGGGTGTATGTTTTCACTTGTAATTGTTTTTCGACTGTGATGACTGGATTTTCGCTATTATGTACCAAGTTCGTGTGTTGAGGCACCATGCATACGTATCACATGTGCATGTTGAAAACTATCGTTCCCGACATTTGGGTGCTATAATTCTCGACAATTGGGTGAATCCCGACAGATGAACTGTCGTTCCTGACAGTTAGCTACAGGCATTCTCGACAGATGAGAGATGGCACTGTCCTGCCAGACGAGTGCAATCATCTGTCGACACAGGCTTCGGTGACAGTGTCTCGACACATGATTGTGGGCAATGACGACATTGCACATGCATTTCGAAATAACATGTATGTCAAACATTCATATCTCATTATCACACGTATTTTCGCACATTCAAAATATTGCTAGTAACGTTTTTTTGGAGTTCAACATTGCATGCACAATTCAACATAATCTGTTCTTATACGTTTGGGTAGATGATCTGTTCTTATACATTTGTCATATTACTTGTTCCGATTGATGTGGTTGTAAGCTCTTCCGAAGTACGCTTGTTCTTTGAAATATTCATTTGGTGTTGATTTATGGTCTGACCATTATCGCTTCATGTGCAGAACGGATGGAATTTCAATTTTGGGTGTCGGAGAATGTACGGTTGCCCGCGCGCATCTCGCTATGGAGCAACCTCAAGTACATTAAAAAGGTGATGGATCACTTCGACGACCGACTGCGGGATGACTTTCAGAACTACTGCCTTGGGTTTCTTGCTGACGTTCCGGAGATCCAGTTTTTCGCTCAACTAATCCAGGCCCTTGTGTGCCGAGGGATCCGTTGTGATAAGTCCCACGAGTTGTGGTTCAACGTGCAGGGCCACCTTACCCCGTTTGGACTGCATGCTGGCTCGTTTCCGGAGGGCAATCGTTTGAACAAAGCATTGGAGAAGAGGAGGCTGAAGGAAAAGTATTTCAAATCGCTGGACAAGATTTCATGTGCTCAATTGGAGAAGACCTTTGTCCGCACGTCGACACCTCGGGCAGATAGATACAAGCTCGGGCTTGCTCTGATTGTGGAAGGAGTTATCA